GGGGGGGAGTAGGGTAGGGGCTATGGGGAGCATGAATGGGACAGGATAGAGAGAGCTGTGTAGAGTGGGGTGGGGCAGGGGAGACAATGGGGCTGGGCTGGGGAGGGTCGGGGGGTTGGGGAGAGGGACAGGGTCTGGAGGGGATGAGACAGAGGGGAGCAGGACTGGAATGGGGGGAAGTTGAGGGGTGGGACAGCAGGAGGAGCGATGGGGGTGGGATGATGGGAGAGGCTGAAGAAGAGATTTGGGGTAGGGCAAGGCTGAGGGCAGTGGGTTGGGGGGAGCAGGGGGACTGTGGGGGAGGCTGTTGGAACGGAGGCAGGGACTGAGGGCAGTGGGTTTGGGGTGGAAGGTACAGGGGGGACTGCGGGGGAGGCTGAGGGAACAGTGGGTCGGGTCTACACTGGCACCTCTCAGCATTGCGGTGCCGGGCGGCAGACCTGCACCAGCGCTACCCTGGCGATGGAAGAGTCCTCAGTGGAAATGCAGACTTCATGACACAGACCCTCCTCGTCACTTCAAACCTGGTGCTGCTCTGGTCAGTTGCTTGACTCTTGTCACTTTCAAACCCATGCAGGGTATCTGGCTCTTTTTCAGTTCTCAGGTTAAGAAAAGCCTCTGCATTTTGTGAGGGCTTCAGCATTCACTTTCCTACTTAACAAACTGTCTGCCTGACACATTGCTCCCAGGGCATTCATCTTTATTCATTATCGGCAGGTCCATCAGATTAACGAGCAACACAGGGGGAAGCAACACAATGGTGTCAAGGATTTTTAATTTTTCAAACCACTTTGGCCTCAACAGCAAATCTGGACAGAGCAGATGGGTGTCAGGATGGGTTTGGGTATTTATTTATTTATTTTTTTAAGTGAAAATGTTTGGGTCTGAGCAAAGGCTGCAAACTTCCCTTTGGAAACCTCTGCTGATCTTTTGCCCCAGGGGCTAACGACAGCCTGGAATTCGGGACAGATTTCCACATCCATGCAGGGTGAGATGATCGGGGGGAGGGGAGGGACTGTGGAGGAGGCAGAGGGAACAGGGTCAGGGGGGCTGAGGGCAGTGGATTGAGGGTGGGAACACAGGGGGGACTGCGGGGGAGGCTGAGGGAACAGGGTCAGGGTGGGGGCTGCGGGCAGTGCTTACCTGGAGCGGCTCCCAGGAAGCATCCAGCAGGCAGGTCCCTCCCAGTCCCTCTGGCCCCTTCCTAGGGTCGGGTCGAGGGGAGGGGGGCGGAGGGGGCTGCCTGCTGCTGGAGTCTACAAGCCCCGCCCCGCTGCAGCACGCAGCAGAGCGAGACCTCCTGCTAACTCTCTGTGTGCCCGGGGCAGGGGCAGGGCTGTGCTCTGCAGGCTCCTGCCGGCCGGGCGGCGGGCCCCGTGGGCTGGCGCCGCCGCGCCGGGAGCTCAGCTGCGCGCTGCCCCAGGGCCCAGGGAGGAAAGGTGAATGACGCTGGCAGCGCCGGCTTGCCGCAGTCCCCCTCATATAGGGTGACCAGACGTCCCGACCAATGTAAGGTCGGGACGTGGGAAAAGTCCCCTAAAATCGGGACTGTCCCGATAATATCAGGACGTCTGGTCACCTTATATAAATGTAAGCATACAGTATCTGTCATGGCTTCATGTTGTTTAATGTTGAATGTCATTTATACTTGTTTAAGCAAGCAGTTTATGCTACTGTAACTACAAATCACTGTTAATATTGCCAATAAGACTTACTTAAATATATAAAATTATTTTAAGTTTCAGTACAATATATATATATTAATCTGTTTTTAGATATAAAATCCACTACAATAATGGCAATGAGACATGAGATAACATACACCATCTTACTCTGCAGTATCTGTAGTCTTTGTGGAGAGACTGATGGTTGCAGTCTCTTTCCATCCATGCATAGCCAGAAGAGTGAAAAGAGTATGGGGAAGGAGGCTGCTGGAAAGCAATTCCCTCAATCTGAGACATAGAGGGAGCCTATCTGCTTGATTCTTCAGTTTATGTGGTACAGACCCAGACTGTTCTCTGTGATTCCCTTTGCTGAAGGATGAGCAGTGCTCCTTTCTTGTCTCCCAAAAATAAAAAGGAAATTAATGATCTGTTCAAGCCTGCTTTTCTTGACTAGATGGAGAAACACCAAGGTACAGTAGAGCAGCATTACCAAACTCTGATACAAGCCTTGTAACTGTGGTGCTAGTCCATTTCATGAAGCACAGGGCAGAAATGAGGATCAGTGTCGGGGAGAAGGGTAAAAGAGCACAACCCCAAATCTTCCCCTCTTTTATATCACACTGCAAATATGGTACTTCATCTGCAGGTAAAATGGCAGGCAACACCTTGAAAGCCACCAACTTCACTTTTCTTCTCCCTTTGTAACCCCTACTGTAACCAGCTGGAGGAGTAGCTCACTTGTATAGAGAATCAGGGCAAGCTTCTCTACTGCAGTGACATTGAGCTAGCTGAGCCTCAGGTGGCACCAGTTGTCTTCTTTTACTAGCAGAATGTGGCTTCGGATGAGCAGTTGAGTAAGTAGGGGAATCCGAAGTACATAGTCAGGAGGAGAAAAGTCAAAACTAACATGTGAAAAAGCAACAAAGAGAAGGATGGCAAAAAGGAAATAATAGACAGAAAAGAAAAAGCAAGAGAGAAAATGAACAGAAAAAAGGAGAGAGATTAGCAACTGTCAGGACATGATATGAATGGATGGGGGGAATGCCCAACCTGTCAAATAATCCAAAGAGGTGGCTCTATTTAAAAAAAAAAAAAAAAGGAATCCAAGTCATGAAAAGATGTGTTTAAGGTCAGCATTCAAATAGTAGTGGCTGGAAACATAACAATAGCTCTCTGTCTGCTTTCTGCCTAGAAACAATAAAATACTCCAGGCAGGGTATATCCAGGGATTTTCACTTAGATGTCATTTGGCCTCATCTTATTGTTTAATTTTCTTTGTATCTTGCATAGATGAGTGTTACTGTTTCCTGGCAATATCAGATGGCTGTTTCAGAAACCATATACTGTCCAGATACTTAGTGGACTATTCAGGAATGTTAAAGGAAAACATCAAAGCAAAAAAGGCCAAAAAAAAATTTCAGTCTAAATGGTTGGCTCTTTTTAAATTGTGTAGACAGTTTTCAGGTACTACAGTAATGATCTAGCTAATTGCACTGTCATTTTATTTTAGGTTTATCATGAAAGAGTAATTGATAATTTTTGAGACTCCAAAATAATTTCCTGTTAATTGTTTTGAAAAGATGATTGCATGAACTAAATTTGCTCGATTTACCCCCCCCCTTTTTTTTTTCAGGGTTAGTGGTTGGGTTTATCCTAACAATTGCAAATTACAGCTTCTTCACTGCTTTGCTCATGTTTTTTGTTACTTCTTCAAAACTTACTAAGTGGAAAGAAGATGTGAAGAAGCATATAGATTCAGAATTCAAACAAGGTAAACACTAAGAATTATACTGTCAGATAATCTGTAAAGAATAGATACTGTATCTTACCTGATACTTTTGAAAGTTAGAGATATTATGTAGTAGTACACAGAATAGAGAACACTGTAAAGCGTTCTTATCGTCTTTATCTCCATTCTGGACTAGTTGCAATGTGCTTGCTAGTGGTTCATTTAATAGTAATAAACTAAAAGTAGTGATTGTGACTCGAGATTTTCATGTTGTTTTTTGAGTTTGTGTGGGTTTGTTTGGGTTTTTTTGCGCTTTTTAATTTGCTTTTGCTACTGTATGATGTGGCTGAATGTCAAGTTTCTCTGCTACAGTGAAAATATTCAAATATTTTTGTTTGTTTTTACTCGAGGTGGGCAGAGGAATTGGGTGCAAGTATTCTGTAATGGTGGTGTCCCTACGGAGCTGGCTCTGCTATATATGATAGAAAATGGACCAGGTGAAATTCCAATAGACTTTTCCAAGCAGTACACTGCATCATGGATGTGTTTATCCCTTTTGGGAGCTTTGGCCTGCTCTGCTGGAGATACATGGGCTTCAGAGATTGGCAGTGTCTGGAGTAAAAGTGAGCCAAGGTTAATAACAACATGGGAAAAGGTTCCAGTAGGTAAGGGCTTACTGATTTACACATTCTTGTCTTAATGCTGTGTCATTTATGTCTGGGACCCTTAATATAATCATATCTATAAAAAGAATAAATCAAATTCTGCTAGCATTGTGAAGTTTTGAGTGGTAAAAATTAGTACTTTGACATAGTATTTACCACATTCTGTTTGTCATGGGCTGTAAATAAAAAAATAGCTTGGAGAGAGAGAGAGAGCGGAAAATTCAAAAGTACCTTTTGGTTTGGTTCAAACTGAAACAGTCTTTTTCTTGCCAAAATGGGAAGAAAAAAAAATTCATTTTGGGTTGAACAAAACATTTTGTTTGACCCAAAACAAATCTTATCATTTTCAGGTGTTTTTAACCCTCTTTATTTAAAAAAAAATCTAAAGTATGAAACCAAAGAGTCAAAATAAAATGTATTAAAATGTTTTGTTTTTTGAAATGGTGTGAAATAAACTGTTTTGACGTTTTAAAAAAAAATTCTGACTTTTTCATCCAAAATAGTGGTTCCCAAACTTTAACAACCTGTGAACCCCTTTCACTAAAATGTCAAGTCTCATGAAGACATGAGACAAGACTCCTATGTTTCATCAAGTAGTATCAGATGTGAAACAGCATGAAGGTATTTAAGAAGCCAACTCAAAGAGTTCCTTCTACACAAGCATTCAGGTCTTGAGCAGTCCAAGCAAACAACACACGTTACAACAAAGCTTAAACTTGTCTTCATAATAATTTTAAAAACAATACTAGCTGCCTGTTTAATTTTAAAAACAACAAAAAATATCCACCTCTCTTTCCATTTCTTATAAGAAGTCTTGAAGTTTAAATCTCCCCAGTGTGATAGATAAACTTGCTTTGATCTGCTTAGCTCTTGGAAGTCTGGGGGCTCCAGGCTGCTGGCCTCGTGCTGCCTGGGGTTCCTGGGGACAGCTCTGTTCGCCATTAAGGAATTTTTTCCCGAGAACCCCCTGTAACATTTCGTGAACCCCCAGGGGTTCACAAACCCCAGTTTGGGAACCACTGATCCAAAACTATTCACCAAATTTGACCTGATTTTATGAATACTTTGTGACCTGAAAAATGCATTTTTTGACAGATTTACTACTATGAAAAAACTTCACGTAGCTACAGTTAGATAGCATCCTGTGAGATAGAACCCTTACAGAATTCTGAGACTGCTTGTTTTTACTACCATTAGTATGTTCAGATTGCAGTAGATGTAGTTTAAAGAATGGTAACTGTCATCTGACTTGCTTTAAAAAAGGGGAAGTGAAAAGATTTTTAAAATCAAGCTAGATAAGATTTCTAATCAGTAGCAGAATGTGTGTTTTAAATGTAAAGATTACAAAAATGCACTTCTAAACCAAATAGTCAGTTCATTTCCTGCTTTGCTGTCTTACCACTCCTTGTCTCCATTAATTGATGACATTGCTAACTCTTAAACAATTCATAGTATTGAGTTTTTTTTAAGCAAAGAAATCTAGATCCCTAAATTTGAGAGTTGGTGATTGTAATATTGTAAGTTGATTTCTAAATTGTGTGAGGACAGTAGTTTGCCTCATATTTTTTTCACCATAAATGCTTACTGGGTTCCTTTTGAGTAAGTAGTTAAACGTGTTGCTTTTTTAGATAATGCTTTTAAATATCTTTTGGGCAAAACATACCTTGATGAACTACTTCTGAAAGTTTGAATGGTAGATACTCTGGCTGAATAGAGTTACGTGTACAGGTTGGGAGGATATCTTTATCTTCCTCCCACTCTACCCCTAAAATTGAAGTGTCTAAGTAATACTGAAACTTTGTGAAAGTTTCTGGATTAATAGCCATGGAGACTGAAGTTATCTGATTACTGAAGTGGTAGTTTGTAGGCAGCAACTTTGCAGGGTAAGCTTCCCAGCACGGTGCCAGTCAGAAAGGATCAGCTCTTGCCTTGTCTACACTAGCCTTTTTTCTCTAAAATTTCCCACCACTGCTAACACTGGTTGTAGCTCCATCAGCAGTAACAACAGTGAGAGCATCAGTGTAGACAATCTGTTGGTCGCTACTGGAAATTTCAGAGAAACAAAGGCTAGTGTAACAGAGCCTCTGGGAGTGAGAAGGTAGTTCTGTCTTTACTGTCAAGTAAACCATTAAAGCCAATTAATACATCTTCCGAAATGGTTTATAACTCAACTCCGTTTTTCTTTGATTTAGGTACTAATGGAGGTGTTACGTTAGTGGGCCTAATTTCAAGTCTCATTGGTGGCATGCTAGTAGGTGTGGCTTACTTCATTACTCAGCTTGTTTTTGTGAGTGATCTGGATATATCTGCTCCACAGTGGCCACTCGTTGTGTTTGGCGCAATGGCTGGTTTACTGGGATCAATTATTGATTCATATTTAGGAGCTACAATGCAATACACCGGTAAGAAATGTTCTGCTTATTTTTCTGCTTAACTTAAAAGCTCCCTTTTAACTCTAGAGAGGCTGGGGAAGTGGTTTTGAAAATGTGGAAAGAATGGAGGGATTACTACAGTGGTCAAAGAAAGGTAAATAGAATAGTTGAGATCAGAAAGAAGATAGGAGAAAAGGCAATTTATCTTTACCCTTATCCTCTGCCATCTTCGTTCTTCTCCCCACTTTTTGATTTTGGCATTTCAAAATTTTCTGAGGCTGCTATCATCTTTGAGTCATTAAAATGGTTGTGAAATGGTATGACAAGGGAAAAAATTGTGGTATTTTTTTTATCAGGCCTTGCTTGAATATGTCAGATCCTAGTAGTGCACATTGGCTTGTGCACACTGGCTTTGTGTACTTTTTTTCTTACTTGTTCCACTGAATTGCTATCAAACCAAAGTGTGTGTAATATTATATGACAATACTTTCCTTTTACTTTCTATTATCCTATCACAAACATAGTAAAGTTAAGGCCAAATTGTCCCACCTTACCACATGGAGTAATGCGTTACTTTGCAAATAGTCACCTTGATTGGAATGAAAGTAGTTGTAGAGTCAGGTACTACTTGTGGTGATTACGGGAGGCAGAATCTGGCACTTGTGCAGTGCATTTGGGTTTTGATTGCGGCTTTCACTAAAGATGTTTATATGGGGAGCAGAAGGTGTTTTTCTTGGGTTTGGCAAGTTATCTAGAAAATAAACATGAGGCTTGGCTTTTTGTAGCACGTATTAAGTAAAAGTTAGGCTACCCCAGCATGAAGTTAGTGCCTCTGTAGCCTCATCCTGTTCACCGCTGAACTCTGGCTTTGGCCTAAGTTTAGTAAGAGATTGGAAGGCAACAACACTGCCAGCTATTTGCTTCCCAAACAGGCTTTAAAAAAAAAATGTTGTCTTTGGTGTGTTTGCAGGCATCTCTTTACAATAAAACAGAAGTTCAAGGTGAATATTCTTATCTTTTAACATGCTGGGCATTAGGAGATACTCAAAAGCTACGAGAGAAATACTGGCATATATTGGTCTGGCCGGCTTTGAGGTGCTTCCTCCTCCCTTCGTTCCCCACACAAACACCTCATATGCCAGTTTTCTAGAAATGTACATTTCTCCTGGAACACAAAATAGTGGAGTGGCAGGGAGCGCACTGGGATAGCTAATGAAAAACCGTGTTAAGATGCTGCTAATACAAAGGTAGAGTAAGAACAACAACATAAGAACAACATAGAGTAGAGAGTAGCTAGGTTAGTGGAGGGAAAGCCATGCAGCTAGCTAGTAAATACTGTTGTTTTGGAAGTGGAGATGTTAGTGAGTGCTATTTCAGCATTTAAGACAGTGGTGCCCAAACTTCCTGTTGTGTCTGCCCCTTACCAGTAATGGAATCTGTCTGTGCCTCCCCTTTCATTACTGCAGAGTTGGCTCAACAGAGGAGCTTGGGCTGAAGGCAAAACTGTGTATGGGGGAAGAAGAGCTGAGGCTAGAAGCGGAGCTGGCCGGGGGGCAGAGAGGGAATGAGGGCAGAGTTGAGCTGGGGCCAGGGCCAGAGCCGTAGCTGCAGCCAGAGCGGGGCTGGAGCTGGGCAGTGCTCTCTCTCCACCCCTCCCCCCTTGTGGGGGCCGTCTGGGGTCTCGCTGCGTGCCTCCCCAAATGTTCCTCCACTGATCTAAGAGGAGTAGACTTGCCATCAGACAGAGTAACCATTTTCTTTACACCGTTTATCATTGAAAACTAATTCTTTTTGACAGACATACTTTGTTTCTAACCATTTGTTTGTTTAACAGCATCATTCATATCCGAACACTTTAGTTTTTTGTTCTTGATTAGCACTATTATTAGCTTCTTATTCTAGGACTGCATATGTAGATTTCATAGAAATAGTAACTACATTTTTAAAAAAGCTTCTCACTGACAGTAATTAAAAGTATAGAATCTAGATTCCCTTCTTTGAGGCTATTAGTGTTAGTTTAGAATAATAGTTTAACATTATTGGCTAGTTAATTGTCCTTTTTATATATGTTTGACTCAACAGCCATATACTAAGCACTTGTAGGCAGTCATGTACATTTGAGGTACTTGGTACTCTCAACTATGATAGTATTGTAAATTTATCTTTTATTTACTTCTTTCCCCAGGTTTTGACAAGCGTATTGGCATGGTTGTCAACTACGAAACAAAAGACTCCAAGCACATATCTGGAAAACCTATACTGGACAACAATGCAGTGAACCTCTTTTCTTCTGTCGTCATTGCTTTGTTACTTCCTGGTGTGGCATGGGGTTTCTGGCCAAGAGGGTGAAACTTCTTAAGTCTTTTAATACATAGTTCAAATACACTTAATATGAATCAAAGGTTTCTCCCCAAAACACTGTTTTTAGCTTGTTTGAGGGAGTCCTCTGCATCCTTTTCAGAGCCAGAAGGATTCACTACCTTAACTTCCTTAGGCTGTAAGTTTTATGGGCAGCCACCATCTTTCTGGAGAAAGAGGACCAGATGAGGCTCTGTTAATAACCTGTCAGTGCTACTCCTTAATTGGACACAGATTGCTACTTTGTAACATGAAGCACTTCATTTTCCCTTCTGGAGCTGAATGCTTGGCCTCCAAATCATTTCCAACACCTGGCAGAAGAAAGAGTGAAAGAATACAACTAGAAATCTAACCTGGGTCTGCCATACAACTACTATTAACACTGTTCACCAAGCCACAAACAAAGTACTATATATTTTCTGTAATGTAGATCATAGTAGTATCGATGAAATCACTGAATTCTAGTTTAGTATACATTTCCCATTGTCTGCTCAATATTATAGGTTTTATAGAGGTGTATTGAAGTCTTTAAAAAAATTGTACTTTAATAAGCATTGTTGCCTATTCCATGTTGTATTACTTTTTTGCCATGCTTTTGACGATGGGTAAGAAAAAGTAATGCTATAACATAATGTCTCAGGCATATGACTAAATTTAAAATCAAAACTATCCTTTTTCCAATAAGCAAAATAAGAATATAAAGCTTATATAAGCAGCATCATAA